TCAGTTGGTAGTTGTTTCTTAATCATAGCAAATATTCGTGACGTTCTTGTGAGACCTATAGTATACATCTTTTAATATTTATTTGCAAATTAACAATATTTTGTGCAAATCCTGGAACGTTGAACTGTAAAATGCACAAATTTGTTTCTTGCGCATTACATGCCATTATTTTTGTATATAGACGATAACTCCTGTAAGAGGTTGGTAGCAAAGGCACATACAGTTAATTACGGTCAATGGCTAGTAGTCTCTACAGTTACTATATACGTACAGCTCAATAAAGAGACACGTGAAAAAAATGTGTAAACCTCGGGTATTAAATATGTTTTAAATAAATTATGTAACGTATCACAATCATTCGAGCTCATAATAAAATAAATAAATAAATAAAGGTAATCAATATAATCATTGAAATTATGAAAAGCTTTTTTAGGGGGGGGGAGTCTTGAAATATGACCTAGTGGCTAGCGCGCCTGGAGTGTGGATCTGAGGGTTATGATTCGTGTCTGGTTTCCGCAAGATCACGTTTTGCGTCTTGGAGCCATAGGTGCGTTATACGAATGATGGTCAAATCCCAATATTCGGTTTAAGTAAAAGTTATGTTTTATTTAAAATACTTTTCATTATTTTTACTAACTTCGTTTACGAATCGCTTATTTATTTAATTATGAATGTTGTAAAGAGTAACAATGCCGAAAAAAATGAAATTTAATCACAGCTATCCGTAAACACCTGGAAATTTCCACCAGGACTAGAAAAAAATACTACTGTTTTACTGCTGTTATTCGTTCAAAATCACGCAGTTGTTTTACTAGACTTACGTTTATATTTTGGTTGCCTGGACATGGAATAGATCCACTCTGAATCGTTCAATAATCATGTTTTATCAATTATGTTGCCTATCCAGCCATTTACCATTATATCTTAATTTTCTCCTCATGAATTTGATTGCTTGCATAATTATTTTAGTATTATATCATAACATGGTTTTGTCATAAATTCATATTGTTGTTTTTAAAGGAAACAGTTGACTGTTCTCAAATAACAATGAACAACCTCAAGCTGGAAACAGAGATCAATTATTTTCTGATCAATCAGTAGTTACTCAACTAATTGTGAGAACTGTTATGTAGAATAAAATGTGAGTTTGTCTGAAATTTTAAATATATAATATCTTCAAACGAAGCTCGTGTTTAAGTGGCTAGGTGAATATGAAGATATTAACACATTGATGTTTGTTGAGTAGTGAAATACGAAAAGGTACTGTTGTAAGCTATATTTTCAATGTCATAATTTAGTTGCTTATTAGAGGGAGCTGCTAATCATGATGATGATGCGATATCTAGAAAGTTTTTTATGATGTAATAATCGAGAAGTTTCATGACGTATGTAGAAAACACATACATTTTTTAATATAAAAATCAGTGAAGTAATCAGTAATGAGAATTGATTCAGTAATGAGTGAATGATTCAGTTCCGTTATTTCATTGTCAGAAAAGATATTCACTGTTAGTTATCGCATCTGTTCTGCTATTCAACTACTGTGTGGGTTGCATGATTGTTTATCTGTCAAATCTAGTCAAATTAGACGTTCGTCTCCTTGTTTATACTAAAACGTTGTACTTAAGGTTATGCTTACATTTAGTGACGAAGTTTATGCTGAAAAGATTATATGTGAAATTAGGCCTAAAAGTGAATGTGATTGTAGCAAATATTTATTAAAGAAATAAACTACCCTATTTTTCGGAATATAAGACGCACCCTTATTTTGAAAACAAAGTTTTGGGGGAAAAAAGCTACAGTCGCATTTGAAAGATTTTTATTAAACAAAAATTCAATTTGATACTTTAAAAATTAGTTTATTTTGTTCTAAACACAAAAAACTCAAAACATCAAAATAAGAAAATACCGTAAATAAAAAAAAAGTTTTACTGTTATTTAGTTTGGTTCAAAACCTACAAAATCTTCATTGCTTTCACTGTAATTTATTTTTTTATTATTTAGGGATCATTATAAATAGTTATGTTTTTAAAATAAAAAAGACTACTATTGTTATAAATAACACATTCAATTGAACTAAACTATGCATGCCTATTTAAATATACTTAGACATGGCTTGTGTATATCGTATATATACATATGTATTATTCATACCTTCGGTGTATAGGACGCAAGCAGATTTTGACATCGTATTTTGGGGTAAAAAAAGTGCGTCTTATACACCGAAAAATACGGTAACTCGTCATCATTACGTGAACTGGACTTGACATTATTTTTACCAAATAATGCAAAAGAACTACCTTTAAGAAAAAAATTCGTCCCAACAATACCTATGGAGTTAATAAGAAACTGTTATAGTTAATAAAGCACTTTCGAATAGGAATATAGTTTATAACAAAAATAAGGAAACTTCGTTCAAGCTCTCTAAACTCTTAAGTCAATAAAACACAATTCGTAACAAGATGAGAACCGGTTTAAAGTCACGTGACATTGGGTGACCTAGTTCTAAATCAGGGTGTGTCAGTGAAAAAAATTCCAACCCTCCCTTGGTGCTCAACGTTGTAGCAGAATATCGTTGTATTGTAAAAACATCTGTTTGTGTGTGTTCATTTGTGTTCCTGTTTGCCCACACTATAACTCCGTATCAAAACTCAATTCCCACTCATTCAGTCTTTCATTTAAATATAATAACTTATAGAAGTAATCATAAAGTTTTAATGCTCAATGCTATTAAGACCGCTCGCTATTCTTATACTTCCAACGATGGCATTTATTTTTGGTATTTCAAACAGCATATGCACTGTGGGGGGCACCTACTTATTTAGTGGGCGGGGTAGATTTTGGAAAAAGTAACGGAAATCAGTTAGCTCCTACTCACTACTGTCACACGTCACTGTATGTTAATAAATAAATCACATTAAAGCACATTATTATGGAACATTTACACGAATGTAGTCTTCCTTTTTTTTAATTATTTGCATTATTATTAAGGTATTAAAAACCTTAACGTCTGAGCCACTTATTATTGCTATTATGATTAGCTGTAATTGTATTGTTACGTCTCTGGTCGTTAGTTAATTTTCTGTAAAAATTCTTTCCGAAGAAACTTCACCGATACAATTCCTTTCTTAAATAAAACTGGTTTATTCTTTCTGAATACAACTTTGCATTACACTTAATTTCCACAGTCGCGCTATAACAAACGCAATAATTCACAACGAACGTCTCACACGCTCGACTCAACTGTCAATTACACATTGTTGCCGTCACTTCTTGGCGGCACATATATATATATAAGACTACCGCATATCTAGTAAAAGCTCGAGACTTCACGAACCTTCGAGAATAT